TAACAGCCTGCGGAACAGGGTCTCCAGGTTTAGCTGTAACTGCCTGAGGAACAGGGTCTCCAGGTTTTGCTGTAACTGCCTGAGGAACAGGGTCTCCAGGTTTAGCTGTAACTGCCTGAGGTACAGGGTCCCCAGGTTTAGCTGTCACTGCCTGAGGTACAGGGTCTCCAGGTTTAGCTGTAACTGCCTGAGGTACAGGGTCTCCAGGTTTAGCTGTAACTGCCTGAGGAACAGGGTCTCCAAGTTTAGCTGTAACTGCGTGAGGTACAGGGTCTCCAGGTTTAGCTGTCACTGCCTGAGGTACAGGGTCTCCAGGTTTAGCTGTAACTGCCTGAGGTACAGGGTCTCCAGGTTTAGCTGTCACTGCCTGAGGTACAGGGTCTCCAAGTTTAGCTGTAACTGCCTGAGGTACAGGGTCTCCAGGTTTAGCTGTAACTGCCTGAGGTACAGGGTCTCCAGGTTTAGCTGTAACTGCCTGAGGTACAGGGTCTCCGGGTTTTGCTGTCACTGCCTGAGATACAGGGTCTCCAGGTTTAGCTGTCACTGCCTGAGGTACAGGGTCTCCAGGTTTAGCTGTAACTGCCTGAGGTACAGGGTCTCCAAGTTTAGTTGTAACTGCCTGAGGTACAGGGTCTCCGGGTTTTGCTGTCACTGCCTGAGATACAGGGACTCCAGGTTTAGCTGTAACTGCCTGAGGTACAGGTTCTCCAAGTTTAGCTGTCACTGCCTGAGGTACAGGGTCTCCAAGTTTAGCTGTAACTGCCTGAGGTACAGGGTCTCCGGGTTTTGCTGTCACTGCCTGAGGTACAGGGTCTCCAAGTTTAGCTGTAACTGCCTGAGGTACAGGGTCTCCAGGTTTAGCTGTAACTGCCTGAGGTACAGCCAGGGTCTCCAGGTTTAGCTGTAACTGTCTCCAGGTTTAGCTGTAACAGCCTGAGGAACAGGGTCTCCAGGTTTAGCTGTAACTGCCTGAGGTACAGGGTCTCCAGGTTTAGCTGTAACTGCCTGAGGAACAGGGTCTCCAGGTTTAGCTGTAACTGCCTGAGGTACAGGGTCTCCAGGTTTAGCTGTAACTGCCTGAGGAAACAGGGTCTCCAGGTTTAGCTGTAACTGCCTGAGGTACAGGGTCTCCAGGTTTAGCTGTAACTGCCTGAGGTACAGGGTCTCCAGGTTTAGCTGTAACTGCCTGAGGTACAGGGTCTCCAAGTTTAGCTGTCACTGCCTGAGGTACAGGGTCTCCAGGTTTAGCTGTAACTGCCTGAGGTACAGGGTCTCCAGGTTTAGCTGTAACTGCCTGAGGTACAGGGTCTCCAGCTTTAGCTGTAACTGCCTGAGGAACAGGGTCTCCAGGTTTAGCTGTAACTGCCTGAGGTACAGCCAGGGTCTCCAGGTTTAGCTGTAACTGCATGAGGAACAGGGTCTCCAGGTTTAGCTGTCACTGCCTGAGGTACAGCCAGGGTCTCCAGGTTTAGCTGTAACTGCCTGAGATACAGGGTCTCCAGGTTTAGCTGTCACTGTCTGAGGTACAGGGTTTCCAGGTTTAGCTGTAACTGCCTGAGGTACAGGGTCTCCAGGTTTAGCTGTCACTGCCTGAAGTACAGGGTCTCCAGGTTTAGCTGTCACTGCCTGAGGTACAGGGTCTCCAGCTTTAGCTGTAACTGCCTGAGGAACAGGGTCTCCAGGTTTAGCTGTAACTGCCTGAGGTACAGCCAGGGTCTCCAGGTTTAGCTGTAACTGCATGAGGAACAGGGTCTCCAGGTTTAGCTGTCACTGCCTGAGGTACAGCCAGGGTCTCCAGGTTTAGCTGTAACTGCCTGAGATACAGCCAGGGTCTCCAGGTTTAGCTGTCACTGTCTGAGGTACAGGGTCTCCAGGTTTAGCTGTAACTGCCTGAGGTACAGGGTCTCCAGGTTTAGCTGTCACTGCCTGAAGTACAGGGTCTCCAGGTTTAGCTGTCACTGCCTGAGGTACAGGGTCTCCAGGTTTAGCTGTAACTGCCTGAGGTACAGGGTCTCCAGGTTTAGCTGTAACTGCCTGAGGTACAGGGTCTCCAGGTTTAGCTGTAACTGCCTGAGGTACAGGGTCTCCAGGTTTAGCTGTAACTGCCTGAGATACAGGGTCTCCAGGTTTAGCTGTCACTGTCTGAGGTACAGGGTCTCCAGGTTTAGCTGTAACTGCCTGAGGTACAGGGTCTCCAGGTTTAGCTGTCACTGCCTGAAGTACAGGGTCTCCAGGTTTAGCTGTCACTGCCTGAGGTACAGGGTCTCCAGCTTTAGCTGTAACTGCCTGAGGAACAGGGTCTCCAGGTTTAGCTGTAACTGCCTGAGGTACAGCCAGGGTCTCCAGGTTTAGCTGTAACTGCATGAGGAACAGGGTCTCCAGGTTTAGCTGTCACTGCCTGAGGTACAGGGTCTCCAGGTTTAGCTGTAACTGCCTGAGGTACAGGGTCTCCAGGTTTAGCTGTCACTGCCTGAAGTACAGGGTCTCCAGGTTTAGCTGTCACTGCCTGAGGTACAGGGTCTCCAGGTTTAGCTGTAACTACCTGAGGTACAGGGTCTCCAGGTTTAGCTGTAACTGCCTGAGGTACAGGGTCTCCAGGTTTAGCTGTAACTGCCTGAGGTACAGGGTCTCCAGGTTTAGCTGTAACTGCCTGAGGTACAGGGTCTCCAGGTTTAGCTGTCACTGCCTGAGGTACAGGGTCTCCAGGTTTAGCTGTAACTGCCTGAGGTACAGGGTCTCCAGGTTTAGATGTAACTGCCTGAGGTACAGGGTCTCCAAGTTGAGCTGTAACTGCCTGAGGTACAGGGTCTCCAAGTTTAGCTGTAACTGCCTGAGGTACAGGGTCTCCAGGTTTAGCTGTAACTGCCTGAGGTACAGGGTCTCCAGGTTTAGCTGTGGCTCACCATCAGTCTGCTGGACCACTTTACGATCTGACTCAGAGAGTTCCTGCTCTTTAAAGGCAGGTTACCAAACCATGACATTAGTGAAAAAGACAGAATTGACTCGATAAAAGCACGATAAAACATGATCATCATGGTTTTGTCAATGTTAAAATAGGACAGTTTCCTAAGACAGTACAAACGTTGGTGCCCCCTTTTGCACACGGCTTCACAGTTTGGATCAGAGCTCAATTTTGAGTCAATAATTGTCCCGAGATTATTGCACAAATTCTACTTTCTGATTCTGGATTGTCAAGACTTCATGTGGGGATGTAAAAGTATAAATAAATAAATAAAATATAAGCATTGAAATATACTTAAATTGCTGAAAGTAAAAGTACTCATTATGCAGATTGGCCCATCTTCTAATAATATGCATTATATCTATATGTGTTTGCATTGAGGACGTAAACTGATTAGAATAATAATCACATGATTTAGAATTGAATATGAGTTTGGGACTGAATTCCAATAAATGTAAAAATGGGTGTAATATTGTGAAACTGAATTGCTCTGTCAGTCCACTAGTGTTTTTTGCACTGTTATTTCACAATTTTAGAAACCAAACAATCAATTGGACTGTAAACAAATCAACATATGCATAAGTGGGTCTTTTTGGACCCGGTGAGGTGGTTTTCTTGAAGTATCTTTGTAATTACATTTTTTTATCATTTCATATTCCAGCTATTCCTCAAAAAACATGTTTTGGATATCAGGCCATTCACATTTTACATTTACATTTTAAGAAATTGTACTTTTTGTATTTCTACCCCATGCATTTCCTATGGGATCCTCTGGGAACCTTTGATTATTATCACCTGTTGCTGTCAGGAATACATTCACTGTAGGACACACAGACGACATCACAAGTGACACCTCTCAGGAAGATTACTTTACACAGCAAGATCTGATACCTGTCAGTATAATAATAATAATAATACATTATATTTGTATAGGGCTTTTCAAGGACTCAACATCGCTTTACAATATAAGGGAAGGTTGGGGGGGGGGGTATAGGACTATCAAACTTGATCAACCGGCATGGATTGATGTGGGGTGGGCTATGAGTAGACAAGAGGAGATGAGTTTTGAAAAGGGACTGGAATACTGTGAGGGTCTTAGAATAGCGGAGATCTTTGGGACAATATGTTCAAAACGCTTTTTTCCAAATGTTATTTTATTTTATTTTATTATAAATAGTGAAAAATTAAATATAAAATATTTCTAGTGTGAACCAAAATATAATACTAAATATTATACAAGTGTTTTTTCGTAACCAAAATGGCATAAAAACACATATTATTCTAATACGGGTCATTTTTGACCCACTTATGGACGAGTGCAGGATCCAGTCACTCTAAGGGCATCTAAGGGTTAATAATGAAAACAAAACATTAGCTAGATCTAAAATAAAAACACATGTCTTTATTTTTCCTTTTATTTAAGCTGGTTAAAGTCTGAAAAAAGGCTCAAATTAACCTGGAAATATGTTAACATAATGACAATACTATCAATTTGTCTTATAATGTGAGTTAACACAATCTAAATGACATGAAAGCAAAGTGGACAATTGTTTTTTTTACATGTCTAACTTTGCATTAAGGGCCAGCTGAGTGTGGGCGGCAGCATAGATGGATGGACAGATGGATGAGGGTTTTTCTGTTAATCATTCATCAGCTGGATTAGCCCCAGGCTTCTGTAAATATGATGAATGCATCCACGGCTTCATTAGCTCTGCCTTCCCACAGCACGGCTTTATTAGTCTCAGGTTCTGCCAGCTTGTCAGGTTGTTTTTGCTTTTATTTAGTTTCATAACTGGGACATAAAATGCTGGACGTCGTGATCTTTTTTGACTTTTCTTGGAATTGTGTGAAGTTGGGATTGTCGAGCAGAGTTTAATGATTCACAGTCACATGAGCTGCAGTGGACTTTTTTATTTACATCAGGTTCTTCTTCTTCTTTGTATTAATTGTATGTGACTATGCCGATGAAACGCAGCAGTGAGAGTTCAGACAGAGACGGAGTTTTTCTTATTCACTCTCTAACCAAGACTTTGTGCAGCTCACCAGAAGAAACACACACAGACTTTCATGGACAGACGCTTTTTCATCAGGAGGAGGATTCTGGGATTAAATCAGGTGATTAAACAACTATTAAATATTGCTGCTCTGAGCAAATGGGGCGATGTGTTCCTGTTTCATATTAGTCTCCTTATTTCCTATCCTCACATTCTCTTAAAATAATCTTTACTCATCAAAGACTTTAAAATGTGAATGTCTTTCTGTGAAAAAAGACACAGGTTGACCACATGATGATGCAACAACAACAAGGTCCCATTCATGTTCTTACATTTGAAACATTAAAATAAGGTTTTAATGAAGACAGAAACATTAGGACAGAGTAAGAGCAATGGAATAGATTACTGAATTTTAATAAGTAAAGAAATAGGTCCCGTATAATAATCATAATAATGTAAAATTGAATATATATGTATAATTTAGGACTGAATTTCAATTAAACAAAAATAGATGTAGCCTAATATTGTGAAATTGAAATTGTTTGAAAATGTTTGAACTAAAACAATCACTAAGTTAATAACAATTGAATAGCTGGTAAAAGTCCTAAGAATGGTCAAATGAACCAAATATAATGATAACATGAAATACACAATTCAATTCTTTTAGAGGGTAGCCAAAATAACACCATTAAAGAAGAAGCATGCTTTTTAAATATGATATGTGATATGGAAACATCTGTGTGAATAATACTGCAAAAAGTCAAGTTGTGCAAGAAAATGAAGGTCCTGATTCCTCTCTAATCAATTCATGTTTTCCCCCAAATGTTATACAGGTAAACAGCTGTCCTCATGGTCCAGTGTTTTCCACACCTTTTGACAAAAACACATTGAAGTACACACAGTGTTTCTCTCCATTTACTATATTTGTCCGTGTGTTGTCGCAGAAGCAGAGGACAGTAACGAGACGCCGTCCTCAGAGGAAGACCAGGACCTCCTGGACTTTAACCCGGACATCAAACAGAGCATCTCGTCCTCCAGGAAAACCATCAGTCAGATCATCAAAGACAAGAAGAAGCAGACACAACTCACCCTGCAGTGGTAGGTGACACAGCGACTCAGAAGCTGCTCGTCAGCATCGATGTACATCACAGAAAGCTTTCCTTCATCTTACAAGAGATGGAAGAAACCGATAATAAAATCAACCCGATGTGACACCATGAAATCACTTTTGGATACAAGGCATAAAAACTCACAAGTGAAAACTTAAAACTCAACAAAAAGGGTCATTTTTTAACACTTTTGAAGATATGTCCACACAGATTTCTAAAACTGCTCTTCCTATATCTACATCTTCTTATATATATAATCTTTTCAAGATTCCGTAGTTGTTTCCGGTTCTTAAACAGAACTAAAAGGAAAACCTTTATCGACTTTTTCCCATTTTTCTCGTATGTTTTCCTCCAGAAGATTATTTCATATGTATATAACATCCCTAGGTTGGAGTTTTGCCTGTTCAGTACATCTGAGTCCAATGTCCTCTAATTCTTTTATGTTTGTATGTTTTTTCCTCTAACATATCAAAGGTTCAAAGATTCTAATTATTTTCATATGCACAATAGCTACAGTGTCCTCCAATAGCGCAATATACAAGAATTAAAGGTCCCATGTCATGCTTTTCCTGTTATCACCCGTCCCCTTGTTGTTATGAAGGTTTTTCTGCATGTGAACGGTCTGCAGAGTCACAAACCCTCAAAGTACACCCTGTAGCGAGTAAAACTCTAACACAGAAAATACCTGTCTATGCTGCCCCAGAACGCCTCGTTGGACATTTCTCTTTTTCTATTGTTTTCTTCTTGGGTATAGTGACGTATTTCGGGTATAGTGACGTAACGTAATGGCTCCGCGGATTGGTTTGGACCAATCCGTGGACTTCCTCACACACTCGGCGGGACGTTGCGAAGCTCTCTGCTGCGAGGAGCGGGAGAGTGTGAGCCGGGACAGTGTGAGCTGGCTCACTGGTGTGGGGTCGGCGAGACAGCGAGACACCGCGGAACTCAGCCTGGGCACACACACAAACTCCCAGCCAGGCTGCGGGTGTGTGTGTTTCGGGCTGGGTTTCGCTGTGTCTCGCTGTGTCTCGCAGACGGCCACTGGGCTCACAGGGGGGGGGGGCAGGAGCTCCAACAAGCCGTTTAGGACAGAGAGTGAATACACATACTAGACAGAGATGCTGTGTGAGAAACCAATGTGAGTTTGGAACATTAAACAATGTAAATGTATTTTAGTAGACCTCAACAATGGAATTATGATCAGTAGAAATGGCCATGACATGGGACCTTTAATACATAAATAGTGCAAGTGACACAATGGTGCAAGTAAAATGCAGGATTTAGAGGTGGGTTCTGTTTACTGGTTTGACCTTTTCTGTAAGTATGTGTATCTCTTATATATATATTATAAAGTTTAATATCTAACTGATGTGTGTATACAGGCTGGAGGAGAATTACATCGTGTGTGAAGGAGTGTGTCTGCCTCGATGCATCCTCTACGCTCACTACCTGGACTTCTGCAGGAAGGAGAAACTAGAGCCGGCCTGCGCTGCTACGTTTGGAAAGGTGTGTGAGTGTTTGCACAGAAGAAAACAGACCTTATTTGGCCAAAATGTCCTCTTTAAAATCAGAACAAAACGAATCTGAATAATGTACAAAAGCTCAAATACACACAAGTGCTTTCAGTTGAATTAAACAGTTTGATTTTGTGTTTCCCATTGCGATGAGAATAAGAGTTATTCCACGTCCCAAGAAGTACTTTGTGTTGTAAACATTACATATTATTCATTATAAGTGTACTTTAAATTTAGATTTATTAATTGATATCCTTTTATCATCAGACAATCCGACAGAAGTTTCCTCTTCTAACAACGAGAAGACTTGGCACCAGAGGACACTCCAAGTAAATGCAAAATGTCACTTTTAGCCTCGATGTCTTATATCTTTTATGCACAGAAAGCTGTTATGCCTCCTATAGCTCCAACATGTTGGCTGATGTATTCCTTCTTATTATGTTTGCCTTGTACAGATACCATTACTATGGGATTGGCATCAAAGAGAGCAGCGCTTACTATCACTCTGTGTACTCTGGAAAAGGGTTGACCAGGTCAGATCTTATTTCTTTGCAGCTCTACGATGTTTCCTCCCCGTTTAAAGATCTCAATGTCAAAGCATGATATATTTTTAAAAAAATGAAACCTGTTTCTCTTTGATTGCAGATTTTCAGGGAGCAAGCTGAAGAACGAGGTGAGTGAACGTTATATTACTTTAAGAACAACTCAAAAGCGTGCAGATTTTTGCTGCCCTCTGGTTGAAGGTTTGTCAAAGCGTTCCTATATATGTGTTATATTTCTCCCGCAGTAAACAAAATACATACAAATATAAATTATCTATTGTTAGGACGTCTTTCCCAAACAATAGTCTTTTCAATCATCCAAAAAAATGTAGTTTTACACATATATCTATTTAATTGTGGACATCAAGTACATTGGGCTACAGTTCGTCAGCAAAACAGACGTTCTGATTTTTCGATGTTGTTAATTTACTCTTTAAATAAAAGAAATGGCGTAAAGATGACAAAAGGACCAATCTCATGTCGTTGTTTCTTTCAGGGAGGTTTCACCAGGAAATATTCTTTGAGCTCAAAAACTGGAACGTTGCTTCCCGACTTCCCCAACGCTCAGCATCTCCTGCTGCAGGGAAACATCTCCAGGGAAAAGGTTCGTGATAGATATCAATTCATTTCCACATATCAGTGTAAAACATATTCTGAATTTCAATTAGCTGCTTGTCAGTGTTTATCTACATGGCAGAGAACTGACTTCCAGATGGGGAAACAACACGTTAAAACTATTGGTACATTTGCTTAATCTTCAATCAAAAGGTGCTTGATGAACTAAACACAATTTAATTCACAGTAGCTGTTTAATGAGGGCCAGGGCCGGACTGGGACAATAAGTCAGGCCGGGAATTATACACCCAGCCAGGCCACTACCAGTTTTTTGTGCCATTTTGCTGGATCTATTTGTCAATTGTTACAGCGTTGCTGCCCGTAGTGATAGCCCTCTAAATATACTACCCAAAAATAAACATATGGACATGGGTTACTATTTTAAAAAATGTGCAAATCTATTTAGGAACCTATGTGAACATATTTTAAGTGGGGGTGTACCTTAAATCCTATAGGGGGTTCCGGGGGCATGCTCCCCCGCTAAGATTTTTTTTTTAAATGTTGGACTTAAATGCATTAATCTGGTGCATTTTGAGGGGGAAATAAAGAGACTACACCCATATGAAACAGAACTGTATACATTTAAATAATCATAAAATCATAAAAACATGGCCATAACCAATAACACCATATCCAATATGGAAAAACATTGAAACTTGTTTATTTATTTGTTTTTGGTTCATTTATAGTTGTGAGTGTGTCTGTACTCCTGAACCAGCCTCTCCTGTCTCCCCCCTCTCCCCCCTCTCCCCCTGCTCGTCTTTGAGGCAGCAGCAAAGACTAGTTTTAGCTCTCAACAAGTTTTAATAGTTTATCTTACCTTTTTTCACCTAGTTAACGTTTTTTATTTTTTATTATTAATGCATATTTTACTAATCACTCCCCCCCTCAAAATGGAAATATGTGTTTACATAAATGGTGACCAAACCGTTTGAGACCCACAGAGAACTTAGACTAAGTTAACTATCTAAACACTCAGAGAGTCCTTTACCTCACCTGAGCTGAGGTTATCAGTCTCTCAGTCTGACTGGAGAGGACTCTCCTCCACCTTGTTGTTGAAAAAGCTCCTTATATCCGTTAGCTAGCTAGCACCAGATGCTAACAACAACAATACACGTAACCGGTGCGCGCGCTTTATCTCACTCGCTCGCGCCACACATACACTAACACACACCCTCCCGAGCTTGAATGACACACAGACCAATCGAGGGCTTTAGTATGATCTGTATGAAAGTGGCCATGTCGGCAGGCCACATCATGTAGACAGCCAGTCACCCTCTGTGAGGCAGAGTCAGACCCACATTTGCGCAGCGTTGCGTTCACAATACATACATAAAATAAAAAAATCCGTAGGCCAGCAGGCCACTTAGCAGGCCAGGCCATCGGGAAACCTCCCAGTCCTCCCGATGGCCAGTCCGGGCCTGATGAGGGCTGTAACTGACTTGTTTCTGATTTACTTAAAGTCAGATCTTCATTGTTTCTCTGCAGGTGGACACTCTGATCATGATGTATAAAACACACTGCCAGTGCATCCTGGACAACGCCATTAACGTCAACTTTGAGGAGGTGATAGTTACACCATCACATCACATGAGAGCATTCGGCGGTTCCTGGCACAACCGTTTAACATCCTCTCAAACTCCATTTAACTCTTCGTAATGTTTTTGTTTCAGATTCAGAATTTTCTGCTGCATTTCTGGCAGGGCATGCCCGACCACCTGCTGCCGCTGCTGGAGAACCCGGTTATAGTCGACATCTTCTGCGTCTGTGACTCCATCCTCTATAAGGTTGATACAAAAATACTGTTTTCAATTTGTGTGCAGGTCCAGGTTGTAGTATCATTTAAAAAAGATTCACACTTTCAGTTAAACAAATAGTTAATTGTGAAGTTTGCTTATTCGGTTTACCAGTTTGAGACTTTCTTTTGTTTTTGTTTTAAGCCTACCAGCAAGTTGTATTTATAACCATTTACTTTGGGCAGCTGGACACTTACATTAGTTGTCTTGCAGCGTTTGTTTTATTCATTGGGATAACCTTTATGAATGTTATGAATGAGGATAGATCTTATTCTTCTCCTCTCAACTCCCGAAATGTGAAACTCTAACAATGTTTTCTATTTTCTCAGGTTTTAACAGATGTTCTGATTCCAGCTACAATGCAAGAGATGCCTGAGAGGTTTGTTACCTTAATGCATTATTGTCGAATAAGTTCCTGGTGCTAAAAAGTAAAAAACACATTTCTTAAAGCCCTTTCCTGTCCTGGAATATCGCACATGTTTGAATTCAGTTTTCCTTTTTGACAGTAAGCTTAAAGGCGGGGTAGGTCATTCACTTCAGAAACACTTGTTATATTCCATGGAATGCTCTTAACATCCCGATAGCAATGAATATCTGAAATGCTTTGACAATAAATACATAAAAAATCATCTGTGGAAGCCGTAGAGCTGTAAAAAGCACGACCAATCATCTGAGCCGGCCCGGCTAAAGTAACTGGATGGCCTACCTGCCTGTCAGCCTTCCATCTGGGCACAAACTGATCTCGTGCCCTCATTGGTCATGTGTGCGTTCCTGTGTGTTGTAGGAGGGGCTCTATAAGGAAGTCTGAAGGAAGTGGCAGATTTCTTCCGGTTGTGTATTTTCAAATTCTAGCGCACTCGAGCTGGTTTTTCCATTCTTACCTACCCCACCTTTAAGTTTGTGATGCCTTGATCTTAATTTGGGAATGTTGTCAGTTCATCATAAATGATACAATTTCACCAGATTTCTTAACTGTTGACTAAACTACAACTGCATGTTGTTGTTTGTTAGCCTCCTGTGTTTGACAATAGCTTATCCTAAATGCTTGAATCCTTAAGTTGTGGGTTTTAAACAAGTCCAGTCTATCCCAAAATAAGTCATGTTTGGAACTACGATGAAGCTCTAATTCATACACTGGGAATAGAAAACTGACCTGTGTACATTTTGTTTTTCAGTCTGTTGGCAGATATCCGCAACTTTGCCAAACACTGGGAGCACTGGCTGGCCTCCTCCCTGGAAAACCTCCCAGAATGCCTTGCAGCAAAGAAGCTCCCCATAGCACGCCACTTTGTTTCCTCTCTGAAGAGACAGACATCTTTCTTACACCTGGCACAGGTACGACCTTTACTGAAGGACAGGAATGTAACTAAGTACATTTACTCAAGTATTCTTGTTATTTGAGGTACTTGTATTCTAATTAAACATTTTCTTTTCATGCCATTTTCTATTTCTACTCACCTAGAAACATTTTGTACTTGAACATTTTATGATTTATTTAGTTAATTTAGAATTTTCTGGCTTTTTTCTTAACTTCCCTTCTTTATAATGCTGCCACTTGATATATGTTATGTTATTAAGTGAGGTTAGCTCTATATTTAATGTGAGTCTGTTAATCCAACTCTATTTTTGCCTTGCCTGCAATGTACAGTACCTTTGCTGTAAGACTGTAAAAGTCTCCCCTCTGGGACTAATAAAGGATTTCTGATTCATCTGCATTAGGTACTTACAATTAGTACTTAATTTTGCTGATTACTTACTTTTCCTTAAGTAACTATGCAATGCAGAATATATTTGTCCTTTTACTTCCACCACTGCTGAAGGACATAGATTACATAGAACTCTAATGATATATATGGGATAATAACATTTAACATGTCTTTTCCAGATAGCCCGTCCGGCGCTGTTCGACCAGGCTGTGGTGACCAGCATGGTGCTGGACATCGATAACGTGGATCTGAGCAGCATCAGCTCTCAGCCTCTGCTCAGCATCAACACATCTGGAGACCAGGACCCCGACATCTACTCTGAGTGTAAGACCAGGAAGAATCACATTAGACTTTTAACCTTGTTGACTCTAATCATTTGAATCTTTTAATACTGTTTTTCATCTATATATTACAGGTCTCAGATATATACAAAACCTGTCTCTGAAGTGTTTGTCTCGAAACACCAAACTGATCATTGCAGCATTACCCATAATCCCCTCTGTTTCAGCCCTGTTTCCAAAGTGCTGATTCTCTGTCTGTTACTTTAGATGAAAATAAGGAGCCCCTCCCCACGCCCCTCTGAGAGAGATTTGGTTACAAAGAACTCAATGGTGCTCTAGGAGGAGATTCAGGTGATAAGGTGGGGGGGGGGGGGGTTACCTTGGTTGCTGATTGGCTAATGGTTACACAAGACAAAACATCGCTATGACATCATAAAGTGGCCAAAATCTGATCAGCTCATTTTCAGACAGGTTTTTATAGAAATGGATCAAAAAGAGAGAGAATCTTTGTTCCTGAAACTTTCAGAGTCTCTTTACACAGAGGGGACACATGTTGATGTAGAAGAGACATGAAGAAGAGGGGACACATGTTGATGTAGAAGAGACATGAAGAAGAGGGGACACATGTTGATGTAGAAGAGACATGAAGAAGAGGGGACACATGTTGATGTAAAAGAGACATGAAGAAGAGGGGACACATGTTGATGTAGAAGAGACATGAAGAAGAGGGGACACATGTTGATGTAGAAGAGACATGAAGAAGAGGGAACACATGTTGATGTAGAAGAGACATGAAGAAGAGGGGACACATGTTGATGTAGAAGAGACATGAAGAAGAGGGGACACATGTTGATCTAGAAGAGACATGAAGAAGAGGGGACACATGTTGATGTAGAAGAGACATGAAGAAGAGGGGACACATGTTGATGTAGAAGAGACATGAAGAAGAGGGGACACATGTTGATGTAGAAGAGACATGAAGAAGAGGGGACACATGTTGATGTAGAAGAGACATGAAGAAGAGGGGACACATGTTGATGTAGAAGAGACATGAAGAAGAGGGGACACATGTTGATGTAGAAGAGACATGAAGAAGAGGGGACACATGTTGATGTAGAAGAGACATGAAGAAGAGGGGACACATGTTGATGTAGAAGAGACATGAAGAAGAGGAGACACATGTTGATGTAGAAGAGACACGAAGAAGTGGATTTTGCATAATAGGTGACCTTTACAGAAACAACTAACAGCTGGTTCTGCTACTCTAAAGCAGATGAGCATTTGTTGTGTTATTAATAAAGCAACTTCTTCTTGTTTTGTACTCCAGACGACTCCATCACCGTCTTCCAGGAGCTGAAGGAGCTGCTGAGGAAGAACGCCACGGTGGAGTCCTTCATCGAGTGGCTGGACTCTGTGGTGGAGCATAAAGTCATCAAGGTAACAGCTGTTCTCCCTCTGACGCTGTGTTTGTCCTGCAAAAGGTCCCGTTGTGCAACAAAGCAATCTTTTTATTTTCTGTGCTTCTGTGTCTCAGCCCGGGAAGCAGAGCGGCCGCTCGGTGAAGAAGCGAGCGCAGGACTTCCTCCTCAGGTGGAGCTTCTTTGGAGCCAGAGTGATGCACAACCTCACGCTCAACAACGCCTCCAGCTTCGGTACGAACATGTTCAAAAGTTACACATTCTTGACACCTCTACAGAAGACACAGAGTGCAAGGATATTGTACACATATTTGTTTCCTCAACACACACACACACACACACACACACACACACACACACACACACACACACACACACACACACACACACACACACACACACACACACACACACACACACACACACACAAACACAAACACAAGGCTAATACAAACCAGCTCAGAGCAGATTGCTACAATAGCGTCATAAATTCTAATGGCCAGACTCGCCTTGATTAAACAAAGTCTTATCTACGGGTCGCGTGCTTTCTGTTCAAACACACACACTCACACTCTCTCTCACACACACACACACACACACACACACACACACACACACACACACACACACACACACACACACACACACACACACACACACACACACACACACACACACACACAGAGAACGTGAATCAACACTGACCATTTGGTCTGAAGATTCCCGGTGAAGCTCAAACACACACAGAAGGTTTTTAAGACCAAGCAAAGAGCAGCTTGATCCTAAAGGTCACTCTGTAGATAGAAGAGCATACAGTGAGGTGTTCACATTGATATGATGAGGTCTGCACAATTGATGTCTTTATTAAGATCCCTATGAGCATGAGCAATGGCTATTCTCTAAACAAAACAACCATGTCATTAAAGATGCCTTGTTATGCTTTTTGGGTTTTCCTTTTTCTAGGTTTGTGTGCATGTAAATGGTCTGCAAAGGCTACAATCGAAAAGTTCTGTAGCATATTGACATCACTACGTATCACTTGCATTTCTATTGGCTAGTGCTTCAACACATTGTACGCTATAGAGAGGCGAAGTCCCTCCCTTTCCTCCATGGGACCTTATTTCGGAAAGAGTCTGTATTGAAGTCAATGGAGAGAGAAAGATTATCTTTCGATCCCGTTTGAATTGTGCCACGAATTACACATATGATGTTTGTCCATTTAAAAGATAATTTTGCAAGTCAAACAAATTAAAATGTGTCGTAAAACTTTGAAGTAACACTTTCTTTGTGTGAAACTGCTCAATGAACTACATCTCCCATCTCGCACCACACACCAAGACGGCCGTCACGTTGGAACATTTCACTTCTTTCTCTCAGAATGAGGCGGAAAGTATTAAAAGAGGTGAAAATCACTCCAAGTCTGGGCACGTTGAGAGCTGTACATACACACAAGGGGAGTTAGTCGGTTCCTAAGAGCCAGCATGCGGGACCGGGACTCTGGGATTTGTAGTCTTTCTAGTTGCGTATTTCTTATTGCACAGGTGTGCCTTAGGCTGGCCACAATAAAAGCCACTCTGAAATGCGCAGTTTTGCTTTATTGGGGGGGTCTGGGGGGGTCCGAAAACCAGTCAGTATCTGGTGTGAGGGGTAGGGTTAGGGTTAGGGTAATGTTGTGAATCGAGTGGCCCCATGGTGGTGGTGGGGTTATGGTATGGGCAGGCGTATGTTATGGACGACGAACACAGGCCACTCGATTCACAACCTTACCCTAACCCTACCCCTACCCCTAACCCTAACCCTACCCCTACCCCTCACCCCAGATACTGACTGGTTTTCGGACCCCCCCAGACCCCCCCAATAAAGCAAAACTGCGCATTTCAGAGTGGCCTTTTATTGTGGCCAGCCTAAGGCACACCTGTGCAATAATCATGCTGTCTAATCAGCATCTTGATATGCCACACCTGTGAGGTGGGATGGATTATCTCGGCAAAGGAGAAGTGCTCACTATCACAGATCTTTTCAGATTTGTGAACTATATTTCAACAGTTTTACGACAAACTGTGACTTTTTTTATATGGAAATTATCTTTTAAATTGACAAACATCATATGTGTAATTCGTGGCACAATTCAAACGGGATCGAAAGATAATCTTTCTCCCTCCATTGACTTCAATACATAATTTTTTTAAATAAGGTCCCATGGGTCGGAAGTAGATGGGCGGGACTTCGCCGCTCTATAGGCTAAGGGGCGGGACATCTCTAAGCGGTCGACCAATCACAACAGAGCCGGCCAGCTAACCAATCAGAGCAGACTGGGCTCTGGTTTCAGACAGAGGGTGAAAAGAGGTGCTGCAGCACAGGCAGTATGAGAAGAATAAAGAGCTTTTTGAGCATTAAAGCACAGAGACATGTCCCAGTAGAGACACAAAATAATATAACTTGAATCATGCTGCCCCAATGTGGAATTAGAAAGTCTTACCTTAAATTTGGGTTTAATTCTCTGTTTTTCTCACATGCATTGACAGGCTCCTTCCATCTGATCCGGATGCTGTTGGATGAATACATCCTGCTGGCTCTGGAGACTCAGTTCAACAACGACAAGGAGCAGGACCTTCAGAACCTGCTGGACAAATACATGAAAAATGCAGGTACCAAATATAAAAATAAGGTCTTCAGTCTGTTTTGTCTTCTATGATCAAAGACATAGTAAAGGGGAAAGTCCACGTAACTCCGGATTACAGATGTTTCTAACTTTGTGGGATGATTATATAGACACCTTTTCATTTAAAACATGTCATATAGTGTCTTACAAAAAGGCAAAAAGCTAAGGAAATGTACAGTAAATAAAATCAAGGATCAATCAAATGCATACTTGTAAGGAATGAGTTGTCTTAAGAGTTTCAAAAGTGTTATTTTTAATAGAAGTATATATTTTAAAATGAGTAAATACCCCAAATTATAGAGTTTAACCAGATTTTGTTGATGATGGGATGTTAACTTTGTCACTTTCAGATGCGAGTAAAGCAGCGTTCATTGCCTCTCCTAGTTCCTGCTTCCTAGCCAATCGCAACAAGGCCAGCGCTGCCATCGACCAATCGGTGAAGAATGAGTCTCTGGGAGAACACGCCTACATGTCTCTCTCCACCAATCAGCAGCAGAGTCTGGAAACAAGCGCCGCCATCTACCAGGAGACGGCTGGCTTTACTGTGTCAGGTAAAAGAAAAATAATTTAACATTTGCTTTAAAGTAACCGACAAAATATATCGTTTTTCACTGACCATAATTATGAGCAGGTGCCTTTAAAAACCTTTACGAATGAAGAGTTTATTTCAGGTTTTTTCTTTTTTATGCACAAAGCAATGTTACTGTCACCTTGCCAAGTTAAGTATTTTTCTAGTTTTACAAGACGGGTTAATGTCAAATAATGGTTTTCTAATATTTACTTTTTCTTATTATGTGTATTAATTGGCCATTTTGTCAAAAAATAATAATCCTAACAACAGCCAACCATTTTTACGATAGTTTTAAAACAAGCTATTCCTACCTTTTACCCCTTTTTACATTAAAGCCTTAATAAGGAGCAGTTTAGCCAAAACACATTAAAGTTAGGGGCCTTTAAAACCATAGTTATGAGCAAAAAGACGCTAAAATGCTGCGTATATCTGCAGAGAATAATTAATTAGCAGAGGTGGGAAGTAGTGGAGTACAAATACTTCATTACTGTACTTAAGTACATTTTCTGGTATCAGTACTTTACTCCACGACGACTTTTTACTTTTACTTCTTACATGTTGAACACAAATACCTGTACTTTCTACTTCTTACATGTTGAACCCAAATACCTGTACTTTCTACTTCTTACATGTTGAACCCAAATACCTGTACTTTCTACTTCTTACATGTTGAACACAAATACCTGTACTTTCTACTTCTTACATGTTGAACTCAAATACCTGTACTTTCTACTTCTTACATGTTGAACCAAATACCTGTACTTTCTACTTCTTACATGTTGAACCAAATACCTGTACTTTCTACTTCTTACATGTTGAACTCAAATACCTGTACTTTCTACTTCTTACATGTTGAACTCAAATACCTGTACTTTCTACTTCTTACATGTTGAACTCAAATACCTGTACTTTCTACTTCTTACATGTTGAACTCAAATACCTGTACTTTCTACTTCTTACATGTTGAACTCAAATACCTGTACTTTCTACTTCTTACATGTTGAACTCAAATACCTGTACTTTCTACTTCTTACATGTTGAACACAAATACCTGTACTTTCTACTTCTTACATGTTGAACCAAATACCTGTACTTTCTACTTCTTACATGTTGAACAAATACCTGTACTTTCTACTTCTTACATGTTGAACACAAATACCTGTACTTTCTACTTCTTACATGTTGAACACAAATACCTGTACTTTCTAACTTCTTACATGTTGAACACAAATACCTGTACTTTCTACTTCTTACTGTTGAACACAATACCTGTACTTTCTACTTCTCACATGTTGAACACAAATACCTGAACTTTCTACTTCTTACATGTTGAACACAAATACCTGTACTTTCTACTTCTTACATGTTGAACACAAATACCTGTACTTTCTACTTCGCAACATGTTGAACACAAATACCTGTACTTTCTACTTCTTACATGTTGAACTCAAATACCTGTACTTTCTACTTCTTACATGTTGAACACAAATACCTGAACTTTCTACTTCTTACATGTTGAACACAAATACCTGTACTTTCTACTTCTCACATGTTGAACACAAATACCTGTACTTCCTACTTCTCACATGTTGAACACAAATACCTGTACTTTCTACTTCTTACATGTTGAACTCAAATACCTGTACTTTCTACTTCTTACACGTTGAACTCAAATACCTGTACTTTCTACTTCTTACATGTTGAACACAAATACCTGTACTTCCTACTTCTTACATGTTGAACACAAATACCTGTACTTTCTACTTCTTACACGTTGAACTCAAATACCTGTACTTCCTACTTCTTACATGTTGAACTCAAATACCTGTACTTTCTACTTCTTACATGTTGAACTCAAATACCTGTACTTTCTACTTCTTACATGTTGAACACAAATACCTGTACTTTCTACTTCTTACATGTTGAACACAAATACCTGTACTTTCTACTTCTACATGTTGAACTCAAATACCCTGTACCCGTTCTACTTCTTACATGTTGAACTCAAATACCTGTACTTTCTACTTCTTACATGTTGAACTCAAATACCTGTACTTTCTACTTTCTCTCATTTTCCAAACAGCTGGTTCCTTTAGTCTGAACGTGTGTTTGGTGCGTGATCATTATGCTTTAGAGTCATTGCGTGCCTATTGATTTGAACACGATCCGTGTATCCATCATTTCCTGGTCTTCTCTAAAGAAGAGGGACCAATGGAAACGTTGTCATGTTGCCGTTGTTCAGCATGGAAACATTCATTAGCTAACAATGACATTATTGTTCTATTAATATAAAGGGAGGTCAGGTACTCTTTAAAACAGCTGCTAGTTATGGGTACTTTTCACTGAAGTACATTTCAAAGCCCTCTTTAATTTCACTTGAGTAAAGAAGTTTAGTCAGTACTTCTACTTTCACCAGAGTATTTTTAAACACGAGTTTCTGTACTTCTACTTGAGTAAAGGATGTGTGTACTTTTGCCATCTCTGTTGATTAGTGCAAAATCAAATAACCCAATCCTGTAATGTGACCACTTCTTGTCCGCAGGGGGTCAGATGGACTTCTCTCAGGTGAGCGGCCCCCTCATGACGCCCCCTATCTCTCCGGCAGCGTTAGTGCACCGAGGCTCCGTCATCAACCAGGGCCCGATGACAGGGAGGCCCCTACATACTTCCTCTTCCTCCTCTTCCTCCACCTGCGCCTCCTCCTCCTCTTCCTCCTGCCTCTCCTCCCTCAGCGCCATGACCCAGCCCGGCCCCTGCTCTTCTTACCCGGAGACCCTGTACCACTGCTTCCCTCAGACCAGCTACTTCCCTTCAACCGGGGCCTCCACAGGGGCAAACTACCAGACTGCACTCAGGTCAGCTTATATTATATGTATTTTCTTCATGAAGTAGAAATTAAATAAAACAAAGAAACATTCATATACGTTGAATATGAAAATTAAATCCCAAATTCAATGTTTAAAGTTTATTTTTTCTGTCAGAAATGTCATTTTTTGGAAAATTGAGCATTATTATAATAATTACAATTAAGCTTAATAGAAACAAGATGCATTTTTTTCCTTTGATGACCTACTTTGAACTTGTATTGAAGACAAAACTTCCTACTGTACTCTGTGGTGCAACTTCTTCTTTGATCCTACGGAAAAATAAAATATGATTTGTTGTCATTATAAAGTCTGAAACTTTATTTTTGCTCCATGTTTCAGGCCTCAGACTCAGAGTCAGTGTCTGGCTTCGGTCCCGTCTCCCTCTCTCGCCTACCATCTCTCTCGGTACCAGAACTTCAGCGACCAGCAGCTGAGTAAAGACGTGTTCTTCCAGCCGTCCTCCAACAGCACCAGCTGCTCTCTGGGTTTCGGCTCTGCGGTTCGACCCGGCTACTCCTCAGGCTCAGAGGCAGCAGAACCGAGCCTGGACACTCAGATGCTCGACTCTGCAGAGATCAGCTTTGTGGGCCAGGGCCAGACGTACTCTGCTGCAGGACACAGCGGTAAGGAGGGTATTGTGGGACTTAAAGGTCTCCTATCGTGCAAAATGCACTTTGTGATGTCTTTTATACATAAACATGTGTCCCCGGTGTGTCGGGGAACTCACGCAGCGTCAGAAAATAAAACCCTCTCTCTTTTCCTCCGTACCCAAATCTCTAAAAACGGGGAACAACGGAGCTGATCCAGATTTGCATCCGATATGACGTAATATCAGAAATGTGGACCCACGGCCCTATCAGAAACTTTGCTATCAAAATCAATGCGCAACGTGTTTTGGACTTAATATGGTCTTTGTTTACATTAGCAAGCATCGCTAACACTCAGAGCTAACCTGTACTGGAGAGAGTATGTGTAAAAAAGCAGGAAATAAAAAAAGGAACTCACCTTGTAGTAAACCCGCAAGAGAGAAAGCATTTGAGCTCCATACTGTTTCAGAAAAAACTAAATGCCAAACTTCCCTCCTGTTGCAGGTTACTATGGGAACAGTTACCTGGACAACCAGCGGATGAGCTCATTGGTGGATCAGCACGTGTCTGTGATCAGCACGGTGGGCAGCCTGCGGGCGTTCCCCTCGGCGTACTCTGACGTCCACGATCCTCTCAACATCCTGGACGAACCCGGGAGGAAAACTACGGGAGCGTACTTCATCGAGACTGAGACCGGAGCAGGTGAGGGTCTATTTCAGGAAATGTAAATACATAATAACCGGAGAAGTAAATAAATACTAATAACAAGAATTATTATTATTATAGTAATAGTAAAAATATTATTGATAATAATAAAAAATACTATTAAAAAATATGAATAAATACATTTAATTATAATAATAATAATATTAATAACAATACTAATAATAACAATAATCATAATAATTATGGTAATAGTACAAACAATATTAATAATAATAAAAAATACTAATAAAAAAGAATAGTAAATACATGTAATTAAAATAATAATAATACATAATAATAATAATTATAATTCATAAATCTCTCAAAATATCAAAAACAAAAATAGGAAATGCACAAAATAATCAGAAAAGTAAATAATAATTATAACAATAATAATACAAACAAAAAATTAAATAATAGTAGTAAAATAAATAATTAAAATAATTATGGCAATAGCAAAACATTTAATTTATGAGAGATTTGCATAACACTCAATACAATTAATTAAAGTGAAAATGATCATAAAAGACTCTAAAAATATACAAACCACAACATAATTTACACTTTAAAAGCAACAAGTTGAGTTTTGTTTTGTATATTTTTAGTGTATAATATGTATTTTATTCTGCTTTATAAATGGACATTAATATATTAATAATACAACACATCCAACATGCGTTATTATAAAGCAAACACCTTGTTAAATACCGTTCTGTTCCCACCTCCTGCAGATCATTCCCTCCCGTCTTCAGGATCTGCCCCCTGCATGTTTGGAGTCCCGTCTCCGTTCACCTCCCAGGATGCATTGCTCTCTCAGCAGCGTGTGCAGTCATCTTCAGATGTGCAGGACCTGGTGTCGTCGCTGCCTCCCATCAACACCGTCTTCATGGGAGCAGGGGGAGTACAATGACTGCAGGAAATACACACTACCTAACAAAACAACTACATCTGGATGTTTAAAATAAAATGGATCGGCAACATTTAGCACAATTCACAGGAACATAGAGCCTTGTGCACGAAGATGATATTATTATTTACAGAGAGAAACCTGCCAATTATTTACATCTACCACTATGATATGAACCAGAAAGAAAGGAGCAATATTTATTTGTATAAAAATGTGGAGTATTAATTTAAAAGCATACACATTATAACAATAGACATGATGATAAAGATATTTATAGCATCTCCTCAAATGTATTTTTCAATATTTCCATTTTCTTTTGTTCCTATAAGACGCCATTGTTGTAAATAAACCTTTGTTAGTCAGAATGGTGTTCAATCTTTATTGACAAGACGACACAGCTTTACATTCAAAACAGCAGCAAACGCAACACATATTTGTATATTCAAATATGTGTACTTAGTGTCTCTACTTTAAAGAGTCCTCCCCTGCTGATGTTCAGGCGTATATCAGTATGTAGTGTCTCTACTTTAAAGAGTCCTCTCCTGCTGATGTTCAGGTGTATATCAGTATGTAGTGTCTCTACTTTAAAGAGTCCTCTCCTGCTGATGTTCAGGCGTATATCAGTATGTAGTGTCTCTACTTTAAAGAGTCCTCTCCTGCTGATGTTCAGGCGTATATCAGTATGTAGTGTCTCTACTTTAAAGAGTCCTCCCCTGCTGATGTTCAGGTGTATATCAGTATGTAGTGTCTCTACTTTAAAGAGTCCTCTCCTGCTGATGTTCAAGTATATATCAGTATGTAGTGTCTCTACTTTAAAGAGTCCTCTCCTGCTGATGTTCAGGTGTATATCAGTATGTAGTGTCTCTACTTTAAAGAGTCCTCTCCTGGTGATGTTCAGGTGTATATCAGTATGTAGTGTCTCTACTTTAAAGAGTCCTCTCCTGCTGATGGTCAGGTGTATATCAGTATGTAGTGTCTCTACTTTAAAGAGTCCTCTCCTGCTGATGTTCAGGTGTATATCAGTATGTAGTGTCTCTACTTTAAAGAGTCCTCTCCTGCTGATGTTCAGGTGTATATCAGTATGTAGTGTCTCTACTTTAAAGAGTCCTCTCCTGCTGATGTTCAGGTGTATATCAGTATGTAGTGTCTCTACTTTAAAGAGTCCTCTCCTGCTGATGTTCAGGTGTATATCAGTATGTAGTGTCTCTACTTTAAAGAGTCCTCTCCTGCTGATGTTCAGGTGTATATCAGTATGTAGTGTCTCTACTTTAAAGAGTCCTCTCCTGCTGATGTTCAGGTGTATATCAGTATGTAGTGTCTCTACTTTAAAGAGTCCTCTCCTGCTGATGTTCAGGTGTATATCAGTATGTAGTGTCTCTACTTTAAAGAGTCCTCTCCTGCTGATGTTCAGGTGTATATCAGCATGTAGTGTCTCTACTTTAAAGAGTCCTCTCCTGCTGATGTTCAGGTGTATATCAGTATGTAGTGTCTCTACTTTAAAGAGTCCTCTCCTGCTGATGTTCAGGTGTATATCAGTATGTAGTGCCTCTACTTTAAAGAGTCCTCTCCTGCTGATGTTCAGGTGTATATCAGTATGTAGTGTCTCTACTTTAAAGAGTCCTCTCCTGCTGATGTTCAGGTGTATATCAGTATGTAGTGTCTCTACTTTAAAGAGTCCTCTCCTGCTGATGTTCAGTTGTATATCAGTATGTAGTGTCTCTACTTTAAAGAGTCCTCTCCTGCTGATATTCAGATGTATATCAGTATGTAGTGTCTCTACTTTAAAGAGTCCTCTCCTGCTGATGTTAAGGTGTATATCAGTATGTAGTGTCTCTACTTTAAAGAGTCCTCTCCTGCTGATGTTCAGGTGTATATCAGTATGTAGTGTCTCTACTTTAAAGAGTCCTCTCCTGCTGATGTTCAGGTGTATATCAGTATGTAGTGTCTCTACTTTAAAGAGTCCTCTCCTGCTGATGTTCAGGTGTATATCAGTATGTAGTGTCTCTACTTTAAAGAGTCCTCTCCTGCTGATGTTCAGGTGTATATCAGTATATAGTGTCTTCTACTTTAAAGAGTCCTCTCCTGCTGATGTTCAGGTGTATATCAGTATGTAGTGTCTCTACTTTAAAGAGTGCTCTCCTGCTGATGTTCAGGTGTATATCAGTATGTAGTGTCTCTACTTTAAAGAGTCCTCTCCTGCTGATGTTCAGGTGTATATCAGTATGTAGTGTCTCTACTTTAAAGAGTCCTCTCCTGCTGATGTTAAGGTGTATATCAGTATGTAGTGTCTCTACTTTAAAGAGTCCTCTCCTGCTGATGTTCAGGTGTATATCAGTATGTAGTGTCTCTACTTTAAAGAGTCCTCTCCTGCTGATGTTCAGGTGTATATCAGTATATAGTGTCTCTACTTTAAAGAGTCCTCTCCTGCTGATGTTCAGGTGTATATCAGTATGTAGTGTCTCTACTTTAAAGAGTCCTCTCCTGCTGATGTTCAGGTGTATATCAGTATGTAGTGTCTCTACTTTAAAGAGTCCTCTCCTGCTGATGTTCAGGTGTATATCAGTATGTAGTGTCTCTACTTTAAAGAGTCCTCTCCTGCTGATGTTCAGGTGTATATCAGTATGTAGTGTCTCTACTTAAAAGAGTCCTCTCCTGCTGATGTTCAGGTGTATATCAGTATGTAGTGTCTCTACTTTAAAGAGTCCTCTCCTGCTGATGTTCAGGTGTATATATCAGTATGTAGGTGTGTCTCTACTTTAAAGAGTCCTCTGCTGCTGATGTTCAGGTGTATATCAGTATATAGTGTCTCTACTTTAAAGAGTCCTCTCCTGCTGATGTTCAGGTGTATATCAGTATGTAGTGTCTCTACTTTAAAGAGTCCTCTCCTGCTGATGTTCAGGTGGTATATCAGTATGTAGTGTCTCTACTTTAAAGAGTCCTCTCCTGCTGATGTTCAGGTGTATATCAGTATGTAGTGTCTCTACTTTAAAGAGTCCTCTCCTGCTGATGTTCAGGTGTATATCAGTATGTAGTGTCTCTACTTTAAAGAGTCCTCTCCTGCTGATGTTCAGGTGTATATCAGTATGTAGTGTCTCTACTTTAAAGAGTCCTCTCCTGCTGATGTTCAGGTGTATATCAGTATGTAGTGTCTCTACTTTAAAAGAGTCCTCTCCTGCTGATGTTCAGGTGTATATCAGTATGTAGTGTCTCTACTTTAAAGAGTCCTCTCCTGCTGATGTTCAGGTGTATATCAGTATGTAGTGTCTCTACTTTAAGAGTCCTCTCCTGCTGATGTTCAGGTGTATATCAGTATGTAGTGTCTCTACTTTAAAGAGTCCTCTCCTGCTGATGTTCAGGTGTATATCAGTATGTAGTGTCTCTACTTTAAAGAGTCCTCTCCTGCTGATGTTCAGGTGTATATCAGTATGTAGTGTCCTCTACTTTAAAGAGTCCTCTCCTGCTGATGTTCAGGTGTATATCAGTATGTTGTCTCTACTTAAAGAGTCCTCTCCTGCTGATGTTCAGGTGTATATCAGTATAGTAGTGTCTCTACTTTAAAGAGTCCTCTCCTGCTGATGTTCAGGTGTATATCAGTATGTAGTGTCTCTACTTTAAAGAGTCCTCTCCTGCTGATGTTCAGGTGTATATCAGTATGTAGTGTCTCTACTTTAAAGAGTCCTCTCCTGCTGATGTTCAGGTGTATATCAGTATGTAGTGTCTCTACTTTAAAGAGTCCTCTCCTGCTGATGTTCAGGTGTATATCAGTATGTAGTTCTCTACTTTAAAGAGTCCTCTCCTGCTGATGTTCAGGTGTATATCAGTATGTAGTGCCTCTACTTTAAAGAGTCCTCTCCTGCTGATGTTCAGGTGTATATCAGTATGTAGTGTCTCTACTTTAAAGAGTCCTCTCCTGCTGATGTTCAGGTGTATATCAGTATGTAGTGTCTCTACTTTAAAGAGTCCCTCTCCTGCTGATTGTTCAGGTGTATATCAGTATGTAGTGTCTCTACTTTAAAGAGTCCTCTCCTGCTGATGTTCAGGTGTTATCAGTATGTAGTGTCTCTACTTTAAAGAGTCCTCTCCTGCTGATGTTCAGGTGTATATCAGTATGTAGTGTCTCTACTTTAAAGAGTCCTCTCCTGCTGATGTTCAGGTGTATATCAGTATGTAGTGTCTCTACTTTAAAGAGTCCTCTCCTGCTGATGTTCAGGTGTATATCAGTATGTAGTGTCTCTACTTTAAAGAGTCCTCTCCTGCTGAGTTCAGGTGTATATCAGTATGTAGTGGTCTCTACTTTAAAGGGTCTCTCCTGCTGATGTTCAGGTGTATATCAGTATGTAGTGTCTCTACTTTAAAGAGTCCTCTCCTGCTGATGTTCAGGTGTATATCAGTTTGTAGTGTCTCTACTTTAAAAGAGTCCTCTCCTGCTGATGTTCAGGTGTATATCAGTATGTAGTGTCTCTACTTTAAAAGAGTCCTCTCCTGCTGATGTTCAGGTGTATATCAGTATGTACATAACCTATAGAACACTTCCCCAAAAAGCATAGTAGGGTCTCTTTAAGATATCATTTAGCTTTGTATCCTCCTCTGACCCCATGAAAACACCCGTGTTGCTTCTGGTTGCATGTGTTTCCATGTATTTATCAGCTGTAATAACGAAGAAGGAACAGCTTGACTCCTTTCTTTTGTCGGCCTCTGCAGCAGATTGACTTCCTGTCAATAATAAACCCCAATACAGTCCTTATCTCGCCCGATTCAAAGAGCTTGTGTCAAAGCTGCGAACACAGATTACAGGACGCACTCACAATTGAACACTGCGGATCAAAGTTGGGAGCTTTTTTTACGTGTAATTATTTGCTTTCTTTGGGACACAATGGAGGGAGATATGAAGCGGATAAAAGTGTTTACCAAAATGTTACGAGAACCCACACAGAGAGTGGAGAGAGGGGGGGTAAAGCTGGAAATCTCACACCCCGGTGAGCTTCAGTAAAACATGGAAACATTTCTCCTCTTGAGTTTGTCGGAGCAGATGGGACGTCATAAAGTCATACGATCAAAAGAGGCTGAAACAGGACGCAATGTTTCCTCTAATAAAACACTTCAGTAAAAAACAACTCAAAGCTTTGAACAGAATTACCTTTGAAAGTAACTTAATAGATAAGACAATCCTAAACTGATTAAGGACATTAAATACATGAAGTGTATTACCGTCAAATCCAGTTGTGCACAAATTGAAAGTAATTTACTGTAATGTTTGATTACATTACATTTAATCAAATGGATAACAATTATTGTGTATTGTTAAGAAAAGTATATGATTT